CGCCCCGCCGGCGGCGAGGGGCAGCGGTAGTCCAGTCCGAGCTGCGGCCGGGGGTGTACATTAGTGGCCTAGGCTCACCCAAAGCGGGGCGCCGCCGCAAAATGGCGGACCCGAGCCGCGAGGGTGCGCCCCGCGAAATGGCGGGATCACCGAGTGCCCGGATGGAGTGGCGCAGAGCGCGTGCAGGGCGCATGCGCGAGGCCGGGGCGGGCCTTGGGGGCGGTGCCATGTAGTGGTGCCCGACCTAGGCTCCTGGTGCCCGTTTCCGGTTGGATATGCGCTAGAGTAGCGCAGCCCTCGTTCCCATGTCCCATTCCCTCTTGGCACTCCGAGTTGGGCTTCCAGTTGCGCTGTTCCCGGCTTGTGTTTCCGGACCCACGTGGCAGAGGTTTTCCCATTCCAGAAAGGGTCAGTCCAAGTCAGCACTGATCCCACCTGTCTACTCCATGTTGGAGTCCCGGCGTTGGGACTCTGCCCCAGCTCCTTATGGAGGTCCAGTTCCCGGCCACCCCCACAGGAACCCCATAGTGGACCAAGCACTTTGCCATCCCGAACCCCGATGGTCCTGTTAGGAGTTAGGCGCCTGTTTGCAAAAGGGAGAACCAAGGTGCACTCCGCGAATGACGAAGGAGGTAGATACCAACCTGCCTTTAGTGCCCAGCCCTAAATATCTCCTGAGGGCATCATCTGGGGGCTATAGCTGGGGTGGCACTGACGAGTATGCAGAACCGGGCTCCCTCTAAGGGAACCAAGTGGGGATGGGGCCCAGGGTGATGAAGGAATTAACAGCTTTTTTGAATTAATTTCTGGGTGTGGTTTTGGGATGATAAATGGCAGAAAGACAATTTTTCAATGTGTCCCCAACGAGTATATGTTATTTGTATAAAGTAAAATAGGAGGGAGGGGTGAGCGATGAAGCCCCTGGAGGATCTCAGTGAGGATTTCAACGATTTGCCACAGGCCACCATGGCATCAGATGAAGGCAAGCTTTTCGTTGGAGGGTTGAGTTTTGACACCAATGAGCAGTCGCTGGAGCAGGTCTTCTCAAAATATGGACAGATTTCTGAAGGTGAGGCTGGTGCTGGACTGGCAGCGGCTGAGCAGGGCTGCTCTTGGTGAGGTTGGGTGCTGACTGCAGACCTCTCTCCTCCACAGTGGTGGTGGTGAAAGACAGGGAGACCCAGCGGTCACGAGGCTTTGGATTTGTCACTTTTGAGAACATTGATGATGCGAAGGACGCCATGATGGCCATGAATGGGAAGGTGAGGGGCAGCTGCTCTGGGATGCAAAGTGTTCAGGCTTGCAGGGCAGGGAGGCTCAGAGGCTGACCTGAGCCAACTTCTTGGTCTTCACAGTCTGTAGATGGGCGACAGATCCGAGTTGACCAGGCTGGCAAGTCATCTGATAATCGATCCCGTGGGTACCGAGGTGGCTCTGCTGGGGGCCGGGGCTTCTTCCGTGGGGGCCGAGGCCGGGGCCGTGGGTTCTCCAGAGGTGAGTGCCACTCTTGGGGCCCGAGGCCCTTGAGGACATGATGGGAACACTGCTGGAAGGAGCTGGCACTTAACTTGTCTTTCCTGTTCCTGTCTGTAGGAGGAGGGGACCGAGGCTATGGGGGGAGCCGGTTCGAGTCCAGGAGCGGGGGCTATGGCGGCTCTAGAGACTACTACAGCAGGTGAGGGTGCAGTCCTGCCGGGTGTGTGGCAGGCTTCTGTTGGGACGTTGGCACAGGGTTGGGGTGAGTAGACTAAGGTGCCCTCCAGCACCCACATGTGTCTTTCCTATAGCCGGAGTCAGGGTGGTGGCTATGGTGACCGGAGCTCCGGAGGGTCCTATAGAGACAGCTACGACAGTTATGGTAAGTCACGTTCTGAGGGCTGCGGTGGGAGCTCAGCAAGCCTTGGCACCCTCTGTGAGAGACACTCAGACCTTGTCACTGTGCTTGCCCATAAGGGACAAGATTGCCCTCTCAGGTCTCCGTGCCAGCAGCCATTTCTACCACAGAACATAAAAGCTAGACCAGACTGACCAAGAAGGAAAGGGAGATGAGGGGCCTGCCAAGCAGGCAGCATAAGTGCATGTGCGGCCACCCGGCCCCGCCGCCCTTGGCTGTGGGGGGGGTTGGATGCTCCCGAGGCTGCAGGGCCGAGCCCTCCAGGTCTGGACCCGGGAGTGGAATGCTGCCTCTTGTTGCGTGCTTCAGTGCTTTTACACTGTACCTGCTTCTTGTTCTCAGCTACACACAACGAGTAAAAATCCTTCCTGCTCAAGATCGTCCTTCCAATGGCTGTATATTTAAAGATTTTGGGAGCTTCGCTGAATCATTAATGTGTAGTGAACACACCTCCTTGTACCCACTTTTGTAGTCTTATCAGTTCTGATCTTGTCAAACACAGCCTGACTGCTTCTGACCCCCCAGATGGCTTCATTACTAGATTTTACTTTTTAAGGAAGCGTTCGTTTTTAAGGGTTTTAAAAACGTTTTGAAAAGCACTTAAGATTTTACTTTTTTCTTTTTACCATGAGCCATGAGTTTTTTAGAAAATCATCGGGGGTTGTGTGGGTTTTTTGTTTTTGGTTGTGTTGTCTTTTTTACTTCCCTTTTTAGTGGGGTTGGCCTGGTGAAGTTGGGTCCCCCAATTCAAATCTCTCTGAGATTGGACAGACTCTGAGTCTGCTCCATGTTGGACGCTGAGTGAGCCATGGCTTTTTTCCAACTTCATGTACCGTTTCTGAGTGTAGCATGGTAGGACCCGTCCCAGGTGGCAACAGAGGTGACTGTTCACCTGGGCCTGGCCTATGTGGCCTATCCGCTGTGTATGACTTACAGTAGACTTGGAGATGTTCCCAAGAGGTTCTTGAAAATGTTTATTTATATTGTCCTTTTTTACTGGAAGACGTATGCATATCCCATTGATGTTGTATTTGAAGTGGTTAAGGAATTCTTGTACACAGTTTTTTTGGCTTTACGAAGCCGATTAAAAGACCGTCTGAAATGAACTTTGCTCTGACAATTTCCCTTTCATTGCTCAACACACTCCTGCTGCGAGCTCTTGACACTCAGACCTCAGCAGAGAGGGCAATTTGAGAAGCAGGTCTGCAAGTCCTGCCTGAGGCCCATGGAGAGCTAGACCAGGAAGGCAGAGTAAACTGACGCTGGCGGGCCCCTTGTGACAGCCAACTGCCACCAGTCCTGGTTAGGTGAGCAGGTGGCTGACGGGAGTGGGTAGGTTGGATCTCGAGGCAGCCCTGGGAGGCTTCTGGCAGTGGCAGCCAGAGGGCTCAATGGGGCGGGCAGTGCAGCAGGGACAGTGGACACACGGGCACCTGACGTTGACCCGACTATCTTAGCCTAGAAGCAGGCCAGAGAGCAGATGGCAGGCAGTGTCCCTGGGCGACCGCAGACTGACTGCTCATTAGCTAGCTCTGCTGTTGCTTCACAAGTTCTGAGAGTTCTCCGCTAGCCTATGGAAGCTGCAGCCCCTCGGAGGACAGAAGTGTTGTGCGCCCAACAGAAACCTCTGAGACGCAAGCTGCTCCCTTGGCTAGCTCATATGTGGAAATAGCCCTGTAATTCGAGGTAACTCCTTTTGCTCGTGTCCACATCCCTCCTCTTGTCAAGAGCTCATTTGAAAGTAAAATTATGTGCCTGGGGAATGTTTCTTTGACTTTTTTTTGCTTTCCCTTTTTCTTTCTTTTCATTTTTTTAATCAAAGTCAGACCCCGGCTTAGTTTAGCCCTTCCCTGCCTGCAGCCAGGCAAGCAGCCCAGGAAGTTGCACCTCACAAGTAGGTTCGAACTGTAAGCAGGATTAGAGAGCACTGAACATCCTGCCTTCGGATTTTTTGTTCATCAATTGACAGTCTTTTCCAGACCTCCTTAAGTCATACTCCTCTCTGTAGCTCTCTGATGTCTGTTGCCTCCATGAGTTTTTTTTTTTTTTTTTCCCAGAGCCCACACTATTCTCTAAGCAGCTCCATCCCAAGTGGGTAGCTGGCTATGCTTAGGGATGGAACACCGCCTGGCCAAGGCTCAGGCTTGCCCTGGTCACACCAGCCCGTGACAGGGTCTCTGCCAGGATGGCCCGATGACTAGCTTAAAACCCTCCTAGGAGCAGTGAATGGTTTAGGGGGAGGTAAGGAGGGGCAGCTACGAGCATGTGTCCAAGATCCTAGGGGTAACACTCCTTTGCTTTGGCAGGTTGAAGGGAAGCCATTGTGACTTGGAAAGGTGGTCCAAGAACAGCAATGACCTGGGGTCCTTTCCCAAGAGGGACTTCACCTAGGAGCAAGAACCAGAGGTTCAGCCCCCTGCTCTCTCAGCCTGTCACCTGTAAGTGCTTTTCTGGGGGGTGATACATGGTCCTTTGGCCTTGGCAATGCCTAGTCCTTTCTGAGGGTTCTCTCTGGTTTCCTGCCCCACCCATAGTATGGATGGGGGCAGCTTTCTGTGTGGGCCTCCTGTCGGATCCAGCTCTAGTTCTCTTCATTCCTTCTTCATTTTTCCAGCAGGTGCTTTATTGGCAAGGTGGAAGTACAGGGCTTCAAGTTACTCCAGGAGGATGGGTGTGTGGCAGCTTGCACGTGGCCAGTCCTCACCTGCAACAACAGTGACAGGATGTGGAAGTCAGATTTGAATAAAGGACTGGTGTGTCTACCCAGAAATCTGAGTCTGGTTTGGGGCGCGGCTGAGGAGGGTGGTCCATAAGCCTCAGGTGGAGGCTGGGTGGGAAGTGGGGGGTCTCTTAGAGAAAGCCTCTTCTGGCCTTTGTTCAGGGCAGTAGCTGGACCCAAACCAGACAGACGAGGCAGTCACTTAGTTGTCATCTTGGGGTTGGTCTCGGGGCACACTCAGCTTGAGAGGAAGAGGCAGTGGTCCCTGGGCTCCCTCATCTGAGATGTGCACATGTCTCAGGGCCCTCATAAAGGTATTGACACGGAATGACCTTGGGCAACTTCATCTGTGCTTGCCTGTAGGGCCTACCTTTCTTCCTGAGCTGGTGGCTCTCTGCTGTGATCTTGGGGTGCAGAGAGTTGGGGTTGGACCCTGATTCCGAGGCCTTGGGTCTGTCCTCTCAAATTCTAGCAGAGTGGGGAGGATGGTGGCAGTAGACCCAGAGCTGGGCCAGTGCAATGTGGTCTGGATGGCTGAGGTGCCTGCCACCACAACTGAGCGCAGGATGCCCAGGCTGGAACAGGCAGGCCTATCCCTCGCAGCACAAGGTCCGGACTGGGAACCAGAACAGCAAGAATTCCCAGGACCTCATGGGGGAGAGGCCCTAAGGGTACTAAGCTGAACTTGGGATGGCCTTGCCGCTTGCCGCTGGTCTTTGACCCCCCTCTGTGCAGTTGGGAACCTTCTTCCTGTGAGGCTGCTGGCTCCCCTGTGGCGTGTCGCTCGCTCTCTGGGCACCCAGCTTTTCTGACTTGTTCCACGAACTGGGAGCTCCGCGTGGGTGTAGCCATTACCCTCTGGGCCAGAAGGGGCGTGAGCCCAGGCACGCGAACAGCTGGCTGAGCGCAGAGCACTGTGGGACTGAGCGAGGGGAAGCCATGGGACGGGGCGTTCCCCAGGGCCAAGCTCCGCCCCCTCGAGCCATTGGTTGGCACCGCCCTGTGCCAGTGAATGACAGGGACTCGGGGGTGGGTCCGGCGGGACCACTTCTTCCGCGGGGCCATGGGGCAGTGTGTGCTAGCGCGGCTGCTCCTGCCAATGTTGCTGCTGTCAGTGATGCTCTGTGGAACCCAGAATGCCACTTCCTCGTCGCAACACCCACCGCAACCTACGCTCTGGTCACCGCACGCCATGACGAACGGGAGCCAGTCAGGCACGCTGCACAACAGCACGCACCCACGGCTGCTGGGCTCGCCAGGCTCGCCGCTGCTGCGCTCGTTCTACGTGCTTTCTGGTTTCATCAGCCTGGCAGTGCTCTACTTCCTTATCCGGGCCTTTAGGTACGTCAGGCGCACGCTGCCGCCAAGGAGCGCCAAATCAGCGTGCACCTTCTGCCTCACAGGCTCAGGGGCGAGTGCCCCGCCCCTTCGGCGCTGTGGTAAGGTTCGGGTGGCTGAAATGCAGTCACGTGATGCCTTGGATTTTCCTCACGCTGGGGCACAGATGTGGGTTTCTGGAACACAGCGACCCAGGCCGGACAGTGCGGGTGGGGGAGGGCGTGCTCCTGCTTTATGTTTCTGCTCTGCGGTCCTGGTGCCAGGCGACGCCCACCAGCCTAGCCTGAGCCTGTGTTCCCCGCCAGCCGCACCCGCCCTTTAAGTCCCCCAGCCGGGAGAATAGAAAGGAGGGCCCGCTGGGAAGGGCCTGACAACCGCGCCTTCCATCTTCTGCTCTTTCAGCACCGGAGCTGGCAGCGATCAGTTTCTTGGTTCCACGGATGTTCCCCCTAGAGAGTTGAAGACTCCTCTTCCTTCCCCATGGTCCACATGCCCTGCAAAGTTCTAGTTCAGTCCCCTGCCCTGCAAAGTTCTAGTTCAGTCCCCTGGCTTCCCTGTTTCACTTCCTGTTCGGGACTGACCTCCAGAGGGCCTTTGTCGCAGAGCTGACCATGTTAAGACGCTTTAAAGGGGCCCTTTTTGTCCCCCACCCACACTACCGCGGGTGCACAGTGCTCTTGTTCCCTCTGAGTACTTAATCTTGCTGCATCCTCTTCAGAAGGCCCTCCTTTCTCTGGTGGCCTGGTGGTGGTCAGGAACAGGGGCTTCTGTCTGAGAAAGCCCTCAGTCCAGCCCTCAGGCTCTGATACACCCTCACCCCTCTCTGAGACTCCGTTTTCTCATCAGTAGAGTGGGATACAGTGCCCCCCACTGGAGTGGTCCTGGCCAAGAGTTCTACCAAGGGAGGCATCCACCTCCCATTATTGCCATAAGAGCAACTAATCATGGTGGCTGTTATGAGGCAAAAGAAACACAATTAGACCAGGAAGCTTCACAGCAAAGCTTTGGGGGTCAGGCAGAGGAGGCGGAGAGCAGAGACAACAGAGGCTATGGGGAAAGGCAGGAAATGGGCTGGGGTGTCAGCTGCCCCGGGAGGTGACCCGAGGCAGCCACTGATGGGGCCTGGGACTGCTTTCAGGTTGAAGAAACCCCAGCGGAGGAGCTATGGCCTCCTGGCCAACACCGAGGATCCTATGGACATGGCCTTGCTGGACGGTGTTGAGGAAACCACCTTTGAGACCAGGAATCTGAGATGGTACTGAAGTCCCCCCCCCACCTCCAGAAGTTATGGGTGGATGGGTAGAGCAGGGCTAGAGAGTTGGGAAGACCACTGATTCTAGAGTTCATCCACATGCCACCAGGCTGTGTGGCCTTGGACAAGAAATGGGCCTCTCCCAGACTCAGTTTCCCATATCTTTCAGATGGGAAGGGGCCAAAGTCTTGAACCAGTGCTCTGGGCCCAACCTTGAAGGCCAAGATCAAAGTCAGATAGAGAATTAACTTCAGGGCGCTGCAGAGGGGATGGGTTGGGTGGTCTTTCCATGGTCCCAGCCCCAGGAAGAGCATAGCAGACAAAGGGAATGGCAGAAAGGAAGGAGGGCGGGACTGAGGACCCAGGGTCTGCTGGGCACAGAGCTGGGACTGGGCCTGAGCAGAGAGTGATGGCTCTTCAACCCAGCTTGTTGGGGATGCAGGTGTGGAGGCCAAGAGACCAGGGGGCGGCTCTGGCTTTGCAAGCCTCCCAGGGGAGGCATTGCTATGATGTGGTAGCCCTTCTGGTCTTCTCTATCTCTCCTAGCTAGGGGACCCCGTCTCCTTCCTTCCCCCTTCCCCCTTATCCCTTCCCCCTTCTCCCTTCCTCCTTCCCCCTTCCCTGAAGGTGGGAAGTGGGTAGGGCCTCACAGGCTAGGGGAGGTAGACCCCAGTGGACCTGGGGGCAGGGGCTGGACAGGTGAGAGGGCTCCCAGGCACTTGGAGGGTTAGCCTCAGGCACAGTTGGGGGGAGTGGATCAGTGTAGGCCCATTGCTCCCAACACCTCTCACACCCCTACCCCTCATCTTTCAGATGTTCAGGTCAGGGAGGCAGTGTTCCCAGCTGCCCTGGGAGAAAGATAAGAGACAGGGTCCACTCCCAGTGCCTACACACCTGCTGATTCTTCTGCTGACCTGAGAGCTTGAGTGGGACCTGCCCAGCCTGCCTGAAGCCACCTCCGCTCTCCACCACCACAGGACTACCCAGTATGCCAGGTGCAAACCAGAGGGACCCCCAGCAGCCCCATCCAGGATTCTGAGACCCTCTGCTTGGACTGTGACTTGTGCCGCTGACCCTCCCCGTGGGGACACAGCTGAGGCCTGGCAGGCAGGTGGGCTAAGGGTCCTGTCTGGGAGTGCCTTCCCCACTGGGCTGGGGACAATAAAGGCAGCAGTGCTTCTGTATCTGGCACCCAACTCCACAGTGAGCCAGACCTGGCATTCTGGCTCATAGCCAGGGTAGATGCCAGGGCTTCATCTGGGTCTGGTTTTTCTTATCTGTGATCACGCTGGTCTTCTTTGACTTTGTCCCCAGCTGTCCAGAGGGCCCAGGGAGGAGTTTCCTGAGGTAGATGGAGAGATGGAAGGAGCTGCCAGTCATTGCCTTTGGGCCTAGAGAGATCTCCTAATCAACCATCAAAGGCCTTGTATAGGGGCTCCCTCTTCTGTGCTGCCTTCAGCCTTGGGCCCCTCAAGGGCCATGTTTTCTGGGACCCTCGCCTCACCCTTTTCACACCAGCACCTTTGGGACTGTAGTGTAGGGGGGCTGGAACTTCTTGCAGCTTCAGGACCCCTTGTGCCCACCATGCCTCTCCCCTGTCAGCCTCCTGTGGAATCATTAATGAACCTACCCCAGCACCTAACCTCATTCCTAGTGAGGGGCTTGATGGGTTCCTCTTTGGGCTTTGTTTTTCCTTCAAGGCACTATGTCTGGGCAGGGTCCAGCTCTGTCACCCCTGCTCCCTGTAAATTTGGTCTTGGAGAGTCAGAGAGGAGGGGCTGACCTGTGACAGCCCCACTACCTGAGGTCTCCCCACAGGCCACTGGCCAGAACCACCACAGCCATGTCATTAGGAGGAGTAGCCACTAGGTGGTAGCCTTGTGCTGCCCAGCCTCTGCCCTGCTGACCTGCTGGGCCCAGGTGTGGCCTGGGATCAGCCAGTTGTATAGGTGGGGAAATACATCCATTTGGGGGCCCTGTTTCTCAAGCTTCTTCCTGAGCATCACTTTGTCCCCATGTCCACTGTGGGATGGGCCAAACCTGACCCTCTGGGCCGTTCCCTCTCAGCCCCACTGACCCTCCTTGCTGGGCCTTATCCTGGGTCCCTGCTTGTTGCCGGGTGCAGAGGAGCCATCTCTGCCACAGTCAGCTCTTCACTCCTCTCTCCATTTCCGGTCCTCTGAGCTGGTCTCCAGTCTGCTTCCTTGGGCGGCTCTATCTGTGCCCCTCACAACTTGGCTTCCACTTCCAGTTCCTCCTCCAGTACCCAGCTCCTGCCCCCCTTCCCCACCATTCTTTGGGAGGGTCCTGCACTGAGGACCAGCAGATCCTCCAGGGAAGTTTGAGGAATTGAGGCCAGAGTCCCCTGGACGCCCCAGATATTACACTCCCTGCCTCTGGGGCTCTGGCTGTTCCCTATCTGTCCCCACCCCTCTCCACACATCTCTGTTTTTGGTCTCTGCATCTCTGTCTTCTCCACTTCTGAACCCCTGCCGGCCTCCCTATTTGTTTCTCTCCACCTGCACAGCCTTTCACTTGGTTTCCCTCCATTTCCACCTGTCTCTCTCTGCTCTCCATCTCTCTCCCTGTCTGACCCACTGGGACATGCTTTTAACAGGTGCACAGACACTGTGCGGGTCCCCCTACCCTGTGATCTGTGCCCCTCTCCCACAGCTCTGAGTGATTTCTTGAGCTTCAAAAGGCACATTAATTACTCTAATAAAGTCAGGAGAGACCCTGCATCTGCCATCCAGAGCTGGGAACACACTACTCACCCTCTAGCGTGGCTGCCTCCTGCCCACCCCCATGGGGCAGGGAGGGGTGCCTCTTGCTTTCAGGCCCCTGTGCCTGTCAGCGCCTGTCAGCCTCACTGCATCCCCGTGCATTAGTGTGGAGTAATTGGCAGCCCCCTTCAAGGTTAATGCAATATTAGCAGGAAGTTCTCAGTGGCTTGAAGCCAGGAGAGGGGCCTGTCAGCACCAGATGAAGGGCCCGGGTCCTGGCAGCTTAAGGGCCCATGTGTACGTGCATGCATGTGAGCACGGAGGGGTTTCCAGCACCTTCCTCCACCTCTCATACCCACACACAGATACAGGACACATACAGCACGTGACACAGACTATCATGCATAGGGATAGACACAGGACATACATGCACACATACTGCCTGCAACAGATCCAGAGCCTGTGCCAGATTAGGGTGCACAACCCATAACCTGCACCCTTGAGGCTCTCCCACCACCTCCAAAATATATTTTTATTGGTTTTTAGAGAGAGTGAGAAACATCTCTCGGTTGCCTCTCATACACAGGGTCTGAACCCAAAACCTGGGCATGTGCCCTGACTGGGAATCAATCAGCAACCTTTCGGTGCACAGAACGATACCCAAACAACTGAGCCACACTGGCCAGGGCAGGAGGTAGGGGTTCTTCTGCTGGTTCTGATGTGGGCTCCCTCAGACATGGACCTAGCTCCCAGCAGGGCTGCATTTCTCTCACCTAGGGTCAGCAAGTGAGGCAGCTGCATCCTCCTGGGATTCCCAGGACCCAAGTCCTCTCTGATCCCCCATCCTCTCTGGTGTTTCAGTGCCCCTTATCCTCCTTGGAGGAGTCTGAGCCCCTCCCCCCCCCGCCCTGCTGTGATGTCCCAGTCCAGGGCAGGTGTGGCTATGCAGGGGCACCCAGAGCTGCACTACCCAGCACAGTAGCCACATGTGGCTTTTTACATTTACACTCAAAGTAAGAAATTAAAAACCCTGCTCCTTGTCATACTGGCCACATTCCATGTTCCCAGGAGCCATGGGGAGCTGGGGGCACTTGTATGGAACAGCGAAGATCTGGAATGTTTCTGTCCTCAAGAGAAGTCTAGCCCCAGACTGGTAGGTAGTCACCATGGAGGACAAGTCTCTGTCCAGGCCTGGGGCTGGGAGGATGGGAAGCAGGGAGGAAGGAGGGAACTAGCAGGGGTGTGGGGCCTGTTCAGTCACTGGCCTTGGCTGTTGCAGGAGTCTTAGGCTGAGATTTCAAGGGCCTGGCTGGACAGAAGGGTGGGAAGTTAATTTATCAGCAAGAGAAAGGGATACGTTTATTTTCAAATGACAGAAGCCAACACCCCCACAGCCTGGGGGAATTCTTCACCCCAGGTGTGGGCTGGGCTGATGCAGAGGCCCTGGCCCTGCGCTGACCAGGGTCAGTGGAGCTCCTTGCCTGCTAAGGCCCCTATCCTTCTCTGCCAGAAACCTACCTGGCTGAGCTGGGGCATGTGAGAACCACTGGAGCCAAAGCAGGCTGTGGATTTGGTCCAATTTATTCTGTAATGAGAAATTTCTCCCTGCGTATTTTTAGCCTTCATGGTGCTGTGGCCTTTGAAGGCTGAGGGATGCTGGACACTGATCCCCACCCTGGGGACTTGTCCTGTGGACCACGTGGCAGGTGATGGGTAGTGGGTACTGGGTGGTGGGTGAAGGGTCAGTGGGTGCTAGACTGGGGTAAATGGGTTGTGAGTGATGGATCAGGGGTCAGTGGCAGTGGGTGCTGAGCACAGCTAGGGGCCAGGTCTGAGTCTGGCTAGAACAAGATCCTTGCGGAGCCTGGAGCACACCCTTGAGCCCAAGAATGCAGGCCCAGGTGGATGGGGATAGACCCTCATCAAAGACCCTGTCCTGAGTCTGAGCCTGGGCTGACAGAGAACCCAGGATGACCATGACCCCAACTGAGCATTAAACCCTGTCCCCAGAGTGAGCCTGAAGTCCAACTCTTGACTTTAGAGGAAGCTAAAACCAGAATGACCCTTAACCCCAGGTGATCCCCTTACCTGTTGAGGCTGGAGGCTGGAACAGGCTAGTCAGGGCCTCTTGGGTGCCCACAGCTGGCCCCAGCTGAGCAACAGTCGCCATGAACAGTTGGGCAGCTTTTTCTGCACCTCCACCCTTTTCTTGCCCAGGGCCAGACCTCAGAGCTGCCCAGCCCTCTCCTTCCTGGGGCCCTTCCAGGGGCAGAGAGATTGAGTGGGGGATACATGCCTTTGTTCCTGTCCCTGCTCTAGCTCTGACCTTGAGAGAGAGACAAAAACAGAAGGAAAACAGAGCTTCAGCTCAAATCTCTGAGGAGGCGGTGGCTCTCACAGAGGTGGCCCCTGAATGCAAATTAGCTGATCTAGCACTGGCCTTTTTGGAGTTGGTCCCCTCTGCCAGGGGTGCCCTGCCCACTTTCTGTGAGGTCCAATCCTGCTGTGTTTGACAGCCCCCACCCCATCTGTGAGGTCCCATAAAGTAGGGTTCTCCAATGGCAGAGGAGACTTCTGGAAAGGACACCTTTGTCAAGATGTTGGGCTGGGCCAGTCATGCTGGTGCTCTGGGCACTTTCTGTGCCTGGTCCAGCCATCAGGCCTCTGTTTAGGAAGTAGCTGCCCCTCTTGCTCCCCAAAGAGCCAGCCAGCCAGCTGGGCTGAGCCCTTGCTCCAGGGATGTCCAGAGAGTTTGTCTGAAGGCCCAGGGCACCACTGGTAGATTCTGAGCCTCTCTGGGTCTCCTGGGCCTACCTTAGCCACCACTTGTAGGCAGGTTCCTTCCCCCTCCTCAGAGTCATTGGACCAGCCCTGGGATGGACATCTGCAGTCAGATCAGAGGACAGGACCCAGGAGCCAGAACAGACTGGGCCGAGTGTCCTACAGGACAGAGGACTGAGAACCTTATCCTGTGGGGAATGGGGGCACAGGGTCCAATGGGCCTTGAAGAAGGAACAGAATTTCAATGAGAAGAGAAGGGGAGGTACTTGTGGTACATCCAAGCGAAGGCCAGGCAGTGTGCCTGGCAGAGAAGTGGGGACAGGGAGAAACTCGGGACATGTGGCATATGTCCACAACATAGCAGAGGTGTGTGGCTGGGATGGGTCTTGGCGAAGGTTAGTTTGCCCATCTCTTACCTCTCATGGTGCCTGGGAGGAGCTTCTGCTATACACATGGGGACCTTGCAGTTCAAGAGCTCTTGGCTCTGGACCCTGCAGCAGGCCTGGGTGAGGGAAACCCAGAGAAGCAGAACCTAGCTGGGCACCACTGGTATTTAACATTCAGCACTTGGTGACAGCTCAGTCTGGTGAGGGAGGCTGTGGAATGAATAAAGACAGAACTAGAGGTAAAGCCCCCAGGAGTGATCACTGTGAGTTCACTCTAGGCTTTTGCTTAGGCTGTGCCCTCTGCCCAAATGCCTTTCCCATTCTCTCCTTGTCAGACTTATGCATGTTGACTTATCTGCTGAAGGTGCCAAGTTAGGGACTTCTGTCCCATTTCCTGGATGAAAAAACAGGAGTTCAAAGAGAAGTGACTGTCCTGGGGGTTTCCAGGGGGCAGTAGTGGACTTTGGTCAGCCCAACTGCAAAAACCTCCACCAGGTGGGACTGGAGAGGTGGAGTGGGCTCAGTCTGGTTTAGGATTTGGGTTTGAAAGATGGGGTGAGTCATCTCTGTTCCTCCTGCTCCTTGAATTATCTGGCTCTGCAGATGGGCTTGAATGGAAGTGACGGAGAGGAACTTAGGGAACCTCCATCAGGGCTACGTGGTGATGATGGGATCTCTGGGGCACGACCCTGGGGGTCCAAGCAGCCTGGGCCTGGGATGTGTCTGGGACGCTTTGGCTGGGGCCGGGGGCGCGGTTGAGGCAGGAGCCCCCGCCCACCCCCGCGTGGCCGGGGCACGGCAGGAGGGGGCGCCCGCGGCCCTCCCAGCGCTCGGGAGGGACAAAGGCTAGAGCCCCGGCCCCTCCTCGGCGGGTGCGGCAGCAGCGGTGGACCGTGCTCTGAGTC